GTCTTAATGAAAAGTCTATAATATACTTTGGTTAAAATTTCTCAATGGTAGTGTAGAAAAACACTACCCTGTCAAAAACAACTCTGTTCACAGCTAGCTGTTTTGGTGCATGTCTCTTTAAATGCTAATGAGCTCTGCTGACCCCGCCTCTCTCTTCCATACGGTGCACTACAAAAAATTATTTTCTTGCTTAGTATTTTTGTCTTGTTTTCTAGTACAAATATCTAAACATTCTTGAATCAAGATGCATTTACTTGACAGGTGAAATTACTTAAAATGATCAAAATTGTGTTAGTTTTTGCTTAAAACGAGTAAAAATATCTGCCAATGGGGTAAGAAAAATAATATTGTTTAGCCTTTGAATTAAGATTACTTTTCTTACCCCATTGGCAGATATTATTGCTTGTTTTAAGCAAAAACTAACACAATTTTGATAATTTTTTTTTGCAGTGTGACAAGCCGTTCTCTGAGACTTTAGAACTTGCCAACTAGCACATTATTAGGAAAGACGATTTGCAAAGATTCTTAAAAAAAACGTATGCTCACTTCTTCTGTAGGTGAAGCTGGATCACGAATGATTTGCGCAAACATAGACGCGTTAAGGTAGAGCAGGGGGCGCATTCCCTTCAGAAACAAAGCGTAAACAAAGAGCAGCCTGGGTCTGTGTGACCTCACACAGCCAAGAATCTGAGATCGGCTTGATTTGAAAAAGGGGTTATAATTTCTCGGGATTTAGAAAAAACACTTGGTGGATTTTTAGCACTGTAGGGTGGTTGTGTCCACACACTGCCAACACACATCTCAGTTCAAACAACACATGAATTTTGCATCCGATGACCCCTTTAATGCATCGGTCTCTCTCTCCTCTCGTCATGCTTTTAAAGAAATCACGCCGTTTGGATTGACAGTCGTGCTGCTGTAAAAGGCAGAGGAGGAGCTGGCGGCTGTAATTGATGTCCTAATTGACTGAGGATCTGTGTTTTAGCCTCCTGATGGATGCAGACAGGCACTTACCGAGACGGCCCTCGTGTCTGTCTGTTCAAGAGCTGTAATTCATTAAGTCAGACCTTTCACATTTGTGTTTGCTTTTCTTTATAATAGCAGGACGAGTGTTTGTTTATGTTGTCGTGAGTCTCGTTCAGCAGGTCAAAGGTTGTTCTTAGGCTCTAATGGATGGCTGGAGGTGGAAGTGTGTGTTTAAATGCCACCATACAGTGTAAGACATGCTGAAGATTAGAAAAACACTCAATGCTTGCTGGGAAACATAAAAGTTGCTGAGATGTGCAGGGAAATTAAAAATCCTGTTCTTAATTTGTGTTTGTGTCTAATTTTCCAGGTAAAGCATTTAAAATCCCTTATAAGAAGATCAATTGACTGCATAAGATATTAAGCCTAGTTTTCAGAGAATGTTTTGTTTTTTTTAGTGCTTTTTTCACTTTTTTAAAATATTTAAAACAAGTGAACAAATCTGCCAGTGCAGTCAGACAAAATACACTTGCATTAAAGATACAGGCTATGAAAACAACTTTTAATATGCTATTCAGTTTTGCTTCTCAAGTAAATTTGTGTTTTTATTTTTTCATGCATTTTTTTATATTTTGTGGGAAATTAATTAATAAATTTGCAGGTTGTGTGTGTGATTTTTAAAGAAATCACGCCGTTTGGATTGACAGTCGTGCTGCTGTAAAAGGCAGAGGAGGAGCTGGCGGCTGTAATTGATGTCCTAATTGACTGAGGATCTGTGTTTTAGCCTCCTGATGGATGCAGACAGGCACTTACCGAGACGGCCCTCGTGTCTGTCTGTTCAAGAGCTGTAATTCATTAAGTCAGACCTTTCACATTTGTGTTTGCTTTTCTTTATAATAGCAGGACGAGTGTTTGTTTATGTTGTCGTGAGTCTCGTTCAGCAGGTCAAAGGTTGTTCTTAGGCTCTAATGGATGGCTGGAGGTGGAAGTGTGTGTTTAAATGCCACCATACAGTGTAAGACAAGCTGAAGATTAGAAAAACACTCAATGCTTGCTGGGAAACATAAAAGTTGCTGAGATGTGCAGGGAAATTAAAAATCCTGTTCTTAATAAGTGTTTGTGTCTAATTTTCCAGGTAAAGCATCTAAAATCCCTTATAAGAAGATCAATTGACTGCATAAGATATTAAGCCTAGTTTTCAGAGAATGTTTTGTTTTTTTTAGTGCTTTTTTCACTTTTTTTAAATATTTAAAACAAGTGAACAAATCTGCCAGTGCAGTCAGACAAAATACACTTGCATTAAAGATACAGGCTATGAAAACAACTTTTAATATGCTATTCAGTTTTGCTTCTCAAGTAAATTAGTGTTTTTATTTTTTCATGCATTTTTTTATTTTTTGTGGGAAATTAATTAATAAATTTGCAGGTTGTGTGTGTGATTTCTGGGATATTTCTGGGATATTTAGGTTCCTAGGCAGTTGCTACGGCATTGTAACACTGTTGCACAGGTTATGGTGGTTGCTAGAGGTGTTGCTAGGTTGTTCTGGATAGGTGCTAGGGTGTGGTTAGGACATTGCTAGATTGTTGCACAGGTTCTGTGGTTGCTAGGTTGTTCTGGATGGGTGTTAGGGTGTGGTTAGGGCATTGTTAGACTGTTGCACAGGTTTTGTGGTTGCTAGGTTGTTCTGGATGGGTGCTAGACTGTTGCACAGGTTCTGGTGGTTGCTAGGGGGCTGCTAGGTTGTTCTGGATCGTTACTGGGCAGTTGTCAGAAGATTGTTAAACTGTTGCATAGGTTCTGGTGGTTGCTAGGTCGTTGCTAGGTTGTTCCTAGGTTGTTCTGGATAGGTGCTAGGGTGTTGTTAGGGCATTGTTAGACAGTTGCACAGGTGCTGTGGTTGCTAGGGCGTTGCTAGGTTGTTCTGGATGGTTACTAGGCAGTTGTCAGGTCATTGCTAGACTGTTGCACAGGTTCTGGTGGTTGCTAGGGCGTTGCTAGTGCATTGCCAAAGTGTTCTGAGAGGTTACTTTTGTGTTGCTAGGTGGTTGTTGGGCTGTTTAGAAAGACCTAAAGGATGGTGGTAATTTTAACAGATGTAGTTTTAAAGCTCTAGCAAGAGTTTCAGTCTTTTGAAACACCGTTTATGTGCAATAACAGTATGCTGGCTTTGATAAACATACAGAACTAGAGAGCACAGCAGTCGGCATATTAAAGAACAGCAGTAATAAAGCAGAACACGGTGCTTTGTTGTTGGTGTTCGTGTAGCTGAAGACTGATGTCAGATGTTAGTTTGATTACAGGCGCTAAAGCGAGTCGTGCTCCAGGTGCTCGTACTGAACGCTCACATACAGCATTCGGCTGAAATGCACTTTTAATGCCGCAGCTGCTTAGCAGGCATAGAAAATATATCAGCATATACATCACTGGAGTCATGCAGCAGCAGAACCAGTTACTGGACTGTTTTCATTCTGCTGACAAGAGTAAAACATTACTTACTCCTGTAGAAAACACTGGAGCCACTGGAACTTCATCAGTGAACAGATTATTAGTAGAATTTAATTTATTCATTATAATTAAATGTAATATAATAATAATAATTAATAATAATAATAAGCAGCATTATAATTAACACTATAATCATTATAATAAATATTTATTATTATTATCATTATTATTAGTAGAATTTAATTTATTCATTATAATTAAATGTAATATAATAATAATAATAATAAGCAGCATTATAATTAACACTATAATCATTATAATAAATATTTATTATTATTATCATTATAAAAATTTTTCACTACTGTAAAAGCTCTGGAAAGGTTCTATTATTATTATTATTATCATTATTATTATTGTTATTTAATTTTTTCACTACTGTAAAAGCTCTGGAGAGGTTCTGTTATTATTATTATTATTGTTGTTGTTGTTGTTGTTTTTGTTACCACAAATAATAATGCTAATACTACTACTATAACTACTAATTATTATTATTATTAGTAGTAGTAGTAGTAGTAGTATTGTTGTTATCATAAATAATAATACTATTAATACTACTACTAATTATTACTATAAACATTATTATTATTATTATATTTAATTTATATGGAACCTTTCCAGAGCTCAAAAATGTTTTACAGTAGTGAAAAAAATAACATACACAATGAACAGTCAATGGGAAAGTGCATATTTACACAATTAAGCATATAAAACAATATAAACTCAATTAAGAATATAATTTAATATTCAAAACAGATTTTTTTTAGCACAATTAATTTTAGAAGATCACAGAGGATGATGATGAATATCTCTGTGTATCAATCAATCAATTAATCAATCAATATTTATTTCTTAAGCACATTTAAAAGCAGCACATGTTGGCCAACGTAAATTATTTGTTCTATTGAATCATTCAGATGTTTGATATTTTGTATGTATTTTTGTTTTTCAGGAGACAAAAATCGACTGTGTCCGTGTCGCTACCAAAGGTAGGCATTCTAACTTATGCAAGCAGACATTGAAAATGTGATTAATTTTACACATAACATAATGCATGTAATCAGCATGACGCAGCAGTGAAAGACTGAACAGATCCTGTTAGTGTTGTAGCCTGATTTGGTTTCTGAAATGGTTCACGTGCATCCCTTGTCCAGTCAATGTTATTAACCTTGTAAACATGCAAATAAGAACATTAACCCAGGGTTAATTACTAATCCAGGTTAAAGTAAGAGCAGTGTGAGATGAGAGACGTGACGACCCAAGATTAAAAACGAGCGTGTCTGAAGATGAAGTTCTGCATGTTCTGCTTTTGAGTGTCTGTTGTGCAGGTTTTCAGTAACTGTTTGTTTTCTTCTCTTTCTTCTGTTTGTTTCTCCTCTCTCTCTCTCTCTCTCTCTCTCTCTCTGTCACACACACACACACACACACACACACACACTGATTCTCTCTGTCTTTCTGCATGTGTGTGGATCTTGTTCTTGCAGCTGCTATCTTGGTGACGCAGCTCACCACTCCTTACGTTCGCATCGCTCCGGCCGCTGGAGACAATCAGCTAACAGGTCAGAAACTCACTCACTCACTGTATGTGTGTGTGGATGAATTTGAGTCTGTCTCTAACATAATATTAGCAGAGATAAAGCGCTGATGACATCATCTTGTTCAAGTGTTGTTGTTTTTTTTGACCAATCAGATTCTCTCTAGGATCAATGTTATTTTTGTATTGCTGATAGTTGTTATTGATATTTTGAAAATATTGTTCAATTTTCCATCTTCATTTTAATTTAATTAAAAGTTTTAGTATTTTTTTTTAAATGTCTAAATAGTTTTTATTAATTTTTATATCAGTTTTAGTTTTTGTTATTTTAGTACTTTAAGTTAAACCAAATGAAAATGCTAAATGTTGTCTTGGTAACTAGGTGAAATAAAATAAGTTTAAGGTTTTTTTATATTTTATTATATATATTTTTTTCTTATTTCAAAGTTTTTTATGGTTTTAGTTAACGATAATAACCAAATGAGCCATAAACAACCCAATGTCCTCTTTTAGTAAGAAGTATGTCAAACAGGAAAAAAATCTGCACCCATTGTTTGAGTTTTTTTTAAACGTATGATGCTAAACGTGAATTTAGATGTTTTTAAGTCCATAAAGTCTCTCAGGCAAACGTTTCTTTAAACACACACATATCTCTTTGATTTGTCATCACAAACTCTCTCTGTCATTATCAGACCGATGTGCATGAGCTGCATTTATTGGATTGTGTGTTATATTCAATGTTAAAACAGACCCAGGATTTGTAAGGTTTGATTATATCAGCGGATGAATGTGGTTCTTCAGATTCAGCAAACACATTCACTGACAAACAAAGAGAAACAATCCTGGAACCTGAATGAATTAAAGGATAAACACAGTTGTATTTCCTGTGTTTACTACTGAAGCAGGAAGTTAAGGGTTCTGGCCCCATCCCTGAGCAGGAAATGATGTCATTAGTATTCTGTACATTTTTAATATCTACATCTGCTGCTCTATTTTATTTGATCAGTGCACACTTTCAATCGTACACCAGCATATAGATTATATTAGATAACAATGAAATGTTATGTTTAAATATGAAATGAGGCATTATCTAATCAAATATGCACTGATTTGCAAACATTTCCAGAACAAATCTGGACATTGGATAAAGCCAGGATCAAAATTCTTGTTTGATTTTTTTGACAATATTAGATTTAAAAGGCTTTTACTGATGGGATTTTATATTTCTCATTTTATCACTCCACAAATCAGAAAACACTGTCAACAGACAGAAAATAATAAAATGTTGTATAAATCAGAGTGAATGATATATCAACAAACCCCTCAGTAAAAACCTTTAGAATATAAATTGGAATAAAACTCTACATTTTGGAATTTAAGTGTTGCTGAAGTGGAGAAAAAACTAATTTGTCTTCAAAGATTTGTATTTTTACCATGTTTTTAGGAATAAAATGTTGTATAAATCAGAGTGAATGATATGTCAACAAACCCCTCAGTAAAAACCTTCAGAATATAGATTGGAATAAAACTCAAAATTTTGGAATTTATAAGTGTTGCTGAAGTGGGGGAAAAAACTCATTTGCCTTCAAAGATTTGTATTTTTACCATGTTTTTTAGGAATAAAATGTTGTATAAATCAGAGTGAATGATATGTCAACAAACCCCTCAGTAAAAACCTT